TCAGCTTCTGGGGTTAGTTTCCAGTGATGGGCTTCAGTGTGATTTCTGTAAGTCACCACTTCCCCCTTCACTCACTCTTTGAGAAGCAGACACTGCAGGAAGGAGCAAGCAGCTAGCTTTTGCCCACTCAAGTCTTCTTAAACGCCTAGGGCTTCTTGTAGCAGCAGTTTTCCAGGACAGACCCCAGGTTCCCAAGATGGTTTCTATTTCAGAATATGTTACTGGAAGTTTTAAGAACTGTAATCTTGAAAATCCTCATGATTTCAGAAGCTTCCCTGGTAACTTGCTGGTCTTTGATAGCTCAAAAATGGAAAGAGTTTTAGAATTGCTCCAAAAAAAAGCAAGAACTTGAAGATATGAATGCAGTAGTTTCAGAAATAACTGCTGTGAACAAAACAAGTCTTTTGTAAAAGCTCCACGTGCTTAATAAACAAGAACTGCTAATTACATAACTGTCAGTGATGTTTTCTGGCACGGTCTAACGCCTGGTTCTTCCGGTACAACAAATATGAAAGTGCCTAGAAGTAAATCACAGTTGCTGGGCACTGTGGGCAAACAAACTCATGCCTTATCTCTTTCAAAGGCAGCCATGGAAAATGTATGATAAATTGCACAGTTCAGTGAACATGTTATGTCATTGTGAAGTGATTTTGATTCATGTCTATGCATTTATTGCTAAACAACTGACAAACCTCAAGGTATCAGAAATATCATTCAGGGGGTTTTGCTATTTTCTGTTGCAAAACTCAAGTGCTATAACATGTTTTTCTTTTTTGGTTAAAATACTTTATTGAAAGTATTATATGCCACAGAGTCTTTGGAAATAATTTTTTTAATTATATGAATTCCTGCCAGACGTGTCAAGGAGCTGTGCTAGTCACTAATATTTTAAACATAATGAATAATTCATATTTTTGCTAATATCCTTTTATGAAAATTTTATAGCTAAAAATAAAGAAAGTTGTAAGCCAGTTTGATTTTAAAATAGGATTATAATCTCCTTTCATATAGCCTATCAATATAATGAAATTTCTGAATGTTTTCTGTGCAATAGCAGTAAAATTAAGAGTGAGAGAGTTATTTTAAGGAAGAGTCCACAAAAGTGGCCTCTATGCAAATAATTTCTTTCCCATGGTCAAGATATTTTATTACACTGTCTTTTATCTGTTTCCGACTCTGAAGTTTTAAAGTATTAAATAATTAAGCCATTTTCTATTTGAAATTTATCATTTTTTGTAACTAATTTTTCTCTCAGTTGGTGCTTTTGGCCTTGGCGTCTGATGTTTAAAACCTTTTCTTCTAGTGCTTAAAGCAGCAGAAATGTAGCCTGACAACACATAATATGCACAAGGCATATTGTAAGCACTTAATAAATGTTAGCTATTTATCAGCTGATGTACTCTTAAATTGTTTCTTCTTTTGATAAATCTAGTAAACCAGGAAGCACTGTTTCTCAACTGGTTGTTGTGTGTGTGTGTGTGTGTGTGTGTTATAATTGTGAAATCGTTCTTAGTTTTATAATCAAGGGTTTTAGCGTGGCTTTGGATATTTTGAGTAGTAGTGCTATTGAGTGCTGAGGGCTCCCCTGGTAGCTCAGATGGTAAAGAATCCACCTGTGATGTGGGAGACCCGAATTCGATCCCTGGATCAGGAAGATCCCCTGGAGGAGGGAATGGCAACCCACTCCAGTATTCTTACTTGTGGAATTCCCTGGAGAGAGCCTGGCAGGCTACAGTCCATGAGGTTGCAAAGAGGTGGACACGACAGATTGACTAACACTTTCACTTTTTTCACTTTCATAGAGTGCTTAAGAACAAAATAGCAAAGAAAACCTTGCCTGATGGAAGAAATGATGAATTATTTCTTAGGTATATTAAAAGGGACTTGAGTATTTCTAATTTATCACCGTCATTTAAACATGAGTTCATTCTATCTTCTCTTAGTATATTTTAACCAATTGACCTTTACATATACTTTGCATTTATTAAATTAGGATAAATTTCAGGAGCCTAGAAACATGGTTCAAAACATTCATAGTATTTTTCTGTTATTCTTGGAATATGACAAGCCTATTCTATAAATATTTGCATCATCGAAGAATATCTATGTACTTATGCTGATTTTGGCTTAACATTTTCAAAAATAAGTCTGTTAAATTAAATGTAAGCTTTAAAGGGGAAAACCATAGACCATGTAACTTGATACAGGTATTGCAACATGGCTTACAGCATTTTCTTGGAAGATTTTTATGCCCTTTTCTTCTATTACCATGGCCACTTTCACCTTTATATCAAAAATCCCCAAAATGTATCTATATGAGGATAATTTTAAAACACGAGATTTATATCACTATAAAGGAGAAATCCTTTATAACCACATAAAGCCGTTGTCACCAGAAATTTCAGTCTAAGTTTTACATGAAAAGGGACATATTTTATCTTTAATGCCTCGTTAAACTTTCTGGAACTGACAGTATTCTAAAATATTCTAGGTGGATGAATACATATGTCTGTATTTCTTCTGAGCAATTCAAATATCAGCTTAAAATAAAAGACTAAACGAGGTATTTGTTCTAAAAACTAAAGCAGTGGTATTTTTTCTTCTATTTAATTTTGCCTTCATGTATAGATGTTACTTTGATAAGTCAACCATGTCTTACCTGCACTTTTAAAGTGAAATAGCCAAGACTAAACAAATCATTTATTCTAAAAATTAAAGTAGGGGTATTTTTTCTTTTTTTCTTTTAATTAGTTGGAGGCTAATTACGTTACAGTATTGTAGTGGTTTTTGCCATACATTGATCTTCTATTTAATTTTGCCTTTATGAGTAGATGTTTCTTTGATAAGTCAAGCATGTCCCACCTGCACTTTTTGAGGGAAATAGCCAAAATCAGCATTCCTCAGGTAAAATGACATTTCTGTTGTTTCAGAGGTACATCGTATTTAAACTTAAATTCTGTGTGTGCTTTTGTTCACATGTGTGTGCATGGATTGTATGTGTTCAAACATGTGCACTTACACATGTGTTTATGTGTATGTATGTGGGTTCATGAATTTTCCTACATTCATAATGTGATAAACTGCATTGTGTTGCTAAGAACATTGACTCAGGAGGCAACCTGCCTGAGTTTAAATCTCACCCCTGCTACTTTCTGGCTGTGTAAATTTGAGCAAGTTTTTTAAATTTCTTGCTTCAAGTGTTCTCATCTTATCCAGTTGTAAGATTTAAATAAATTAATATATAGAGAGCACTTCGAACACCTAATCCATAGTAAGTACATAATAAAGTACTAACATCACATGTGATCATTTTCCTGTGTTCATTTATCTTATTTCTAAAGTTATAGCATATTAAAAAGCAGAGACATTACTTTGCCAACAAAGGTCCATCTAGTCAAAGCTATGGTGTTTCTAATAGTCATGTATGGATGTGAGAGTTGGACTGTAAAGAAAGCTGAGCACCAAAGAATTTATGCTTTTGAACTTTGGTATTGGAGAAGACTCTTGAGAGTCCCTTGGACTGCAAGGAGATCCAACCAGTCCATCCTAAAGGAGATCAGTCCTGAATACTCATTGGAAGGACTGATAAAACATTTTTAAAGATGTATTTTGGATTGTGATAATTTGATTAGATAAACTATTTTGTCATTGGTGAGAAGAAGCAATTGTGAAAAAGCAACAGAAGTTATACAACTTTGTGGCTCACAGACTACATATCAAATATCAAATATATTGAAATACATTTATTTATTCAGATGTAAGCCTGTTGACATCTACAGTGTACCAGGATTTAGTGTTAAATGACACAAGGTTCTGTGTGATCCAGCAATCATGCTCCTTAATATTTACCCACAGGAGTTGAGAATTTATGTCCACACAAAAGCTTGTTCACGGATGTTTTTGGCAGCTTTATTCAGCATTGCCAAAGTTTGGAAGCAATCACAATATCCTTCAGGAATTGAATAGATAAATAAAGTATAATACATCAAGACAATGGAATATTATGGAGCACTAAACATTGAAAAGACACAAACATTAAATGTGTATTTTTAAGTGAAATAAGTGAATGTGAAAGAGCTAAATACTGTATGATTTCAACTATATGATATGACATTTTGGAAAATGCAAACCTATGGAGACAATAAAAAGATCAGTAATTTCCTGGAGTTGCAGGCAGAGCATGAAGGATTTTAAGGGCAGTTAAACTACTCTTTGGGCTTCCCTGGTGGTTCAGCAGTAAAGAATCTGCCTGCAATGCAGGAGTCACAGGAGACACAGGTTTGATCCCTGAGTTGGGAAGATTCCCTGGAGGAGGGCATGGCACCCCACTCAAGCAAGTATTCTTACCTGATGCATTCCATGGACAGAGGAGCCTAATGGGCTACAGTCCATGGGATCGCAAAGAGCCAGACAAGACTGAAGTGACTGAGCACACAAAACTATTCTATATGATACTGTAGTGATGAATACATGTTATCATATGTCTGTCCAAGCCCTCCAAGAGTGAACTCTAATCTCAACTGTGGACTCTGGTTGCTAGAGATGTGTCATTCTAGGTTCATCAGTTTTTACAAATGTGCTACTCTAGTGGGGATGTTAATAATCAGGGAATAATCAGGGAGGCTGTGCTTGGGGGCAGTGTGTTTATGGAAAATATCTATAGCTTCCTCTTAATTTTCTGTAAACCTCACTTCACTAAAAAATAAACTCTGTTAGAGAAAAAAAGACGAAAATAGAGCAAAGCTATGGGTCCTTTTCAAAAATTACAAAAACACATGCTAATATGTCCCAAGAAAAATGTTTTCTAAATGTAAATGATCACTACTACCAAAAAAAAAAATAGTACTACAATAAAATACTCAATTGAACTATTAAAAATTGAAAGGGTGTCTCTTCAACTACTAGGAATGTACATTTTAGCTGCCTGAAGCATAAGAGAAAAGTATAAAGTAACAGTATCATGTAAACAATGCAAATTTAGAATGGGTTTTCTTTTTCAGGGAGCACCCAAACCAATAGCCATTGAACCCTGTGCTGGGAACAGAGCTGCAGTTCTGACGGTGTTTCTCTGTCTACCACGAGGGCCATCAGGTGCCCCTCCCCCTGGGCAGTCAGGTAAGATGAATGAGGCACCATCAACAGTTAAGCAGAACGTGTAGATGGAACAGAAGAAATAAACAGTACTACCAGATAGCGCAATAAAGATATTTGCAAGGTTCTAATTCAGAGTATGGTTAAATTTTATTAGAATACAACTTCTATCCAAATATCTAGCTATCTGCCTTGCTATAAATTCATATTTGCCAGTTTTTCCCTTAGAAATGCATGTTGAATATATTTGTGTATTTGTATATAATATACACATATATGTATGTATGTGCACACACACTTCAATTAGTCATTGTAATTACAATGAGTACTTTCGCTAGCAGGGCAAGCAAGTTCTTGACCGTTTTGGGTAGCTACTTTTCTCCCAGTATGTGTGTCATATAGGTTGCCAAATTATAAATATGATTAGAAGCTTGCTTCATAAATATGGAACCTAATTAAGGAACTCACTTACATGTTTGGAATGTTTTGTGGCATCAGAGGATAAGAGCTTGATGCATCCATCCTGGAACATTTAAGATATGTTCTTGCCGTCAGCACCAGCCAGGTGCGGTTCATAGACCTGGAAACCCTCGCCTTTACTTGATCACAGCCAGTCTTTTCCTCTGATATTCCTTTTCCTGCATAGAAAGCATATTTTAAATTTGAAGTAACTCATGTATCCTCTTAGAGATCTTCTCATTGTTTTGACCATTGTCTATATTGTAAACATGCCCAATGTTGAGTATAACTTGTTACTGGATCATAAAGTGTGTCTGTTTCTCTCTTTGTACATATCCTCTTCTTTCTGATCACAGTTTCTAATTGTTCTTTCTCCCAATTGTTTTCTCTAAACAACTCTTAGTGAAATGGATGCTTTTTGAGGGTAAGGGTGATTTCAAATCTATATTTCTCTTCAGTTCCCCTTAAGGGTAAAATAAAGTGCAAGAGATGTGGGCAGGTTCTCAGTAATGGAAATTGATGATGAACTCATCTCCCTGCTTATTTTTCTTCCCTTAACTCCCTAGTTAGCTCTGACCTTGCGCCTTACTTTCTCAATTTATACCCAACAAGATACAAAAATGAAAGCTACCTACTTTATAGCTTATACATTTTAAGATATTCATGTATTAGAATTTTTTTTGTATGGCAACAGTGGATCTCCATCACCTCCAAACTTGTCAGTTATGGTACCTGATGATGTCTTGTAGGAATTTCTACCCACAGTTCATTTGTAGTTGTTTTATTCAATGAAATAAACCTTCTCATATGTTGAGTTGAGTGCCTTTCTCCTTTCAGAACCACCAAGGTAAATGGGATGCAGTAAATAGAATAGCTTGGCATTGGTCAGATAAGATGGATAATTATAGGTAGTGTGCCCAGCTAATGGAAGTATTGTTTCAAGGATGGGATGATGTCCAAAACAAACACTTCACTAATGAAAACAAGTCTATGCGATATACACCAAGGTTCTTCTAGATCCTTGACAAGATGATGTACTGACAGGCAGAGTGAAGGCAACTGCCAATACTCTGTCCCTTTAACCTTTGAAATCTTTTTGACTGATTTGAAAAAGCCACACAGCAATCGGGACCATTACCTCAGCTGTGTTATATTACAGAAGCATTACAGTTACTAATGGTAATGCTGTATTAGATGCGTGTAGTGTTGTACTCTTTACAAAGTATTTTCCTACTTTTCACAGTTGATCCTTATGACAAGCGTGAGCCATAGGTATTATAAAACTCACTTTATAAATGAAAAGAATTTATGTATATAAGTCTCTGTATTCCTATACTTAAAGGAATAATTAGAAAGTATTAGAGTATGGAGCAAAACAGCAACAAAAATACTTATTGCTCACATTCCAGGTAATTTTCTCCTGTGATCTATAGCAGAGAGCTTCTTTTTCTGTAATCTATGGCCCATGTCCTCACAAAGCCAAATATTTGGAGGAGTACTGAAAACGTCTACAGGGTTAATAAAAGTAGACAAAACCTTGAGTTAATTTACCACACTGTTTACAGTGACTATACATCGAACTATGTTGAATATCAGTGTGCACAATTGAGGATGAGTTTGTTCTTCCTTTAAAAAAAAAAAACTAATAATTTTTTTAGCTAACTCTACAGGAGTAGGAAAACTCATTGATTCTACTCCTTCAAAATAAAATGTGATCTTCTGTCTGCAGTCTATTTTGAAATGCATAAAAGACATAATATTACTGATGGATGGATAGTAGGATGAGCAGATGGACAGATATAAAGCAAGTAAAGAAATGGTAATTGTAGAATCTAGGTGATGTGACTCCTGGAGTCCACTGTAAAATTATTTCCACTGTTCTGTGTGTTTGAAATTTTTTATGGTAAGATGTGGGAAACAATTTTTTTTTTAAGAAAAACCCTTGACTTTCCAGGGGTAAAAATAACAGTGCCAGTAGAAATTTTGTATTGTTCACATATGTGTTTTCTCTAATCAAGGCAAATGTTGACACCAGCATGCAAACTAAATGGCTTATGTTTTCCCTTTTCATCAAGATAATTCGGTGTGTACCTTGTCAATGAAAACTTATCATAGTATCATCCAGTATTTGAGAGGAAATGCATTCCATTGATAGTTTGGGCACCATATTGGTTCTTTAGAGGGAAATGTTGACATTGGTTATCTCATTGCTAATGTTTGGTTCATCTCATATCTTGACAGGAAGATAAAGATGTGTGCCTCTGCTTATCACAGTGTATAGAAAGTAGTTCATAAATATTTTTGATGATAATGATAGGAGACCTGGGAAACATGACCTTGAGCAACCACTTCTATCTATGAGACTCAGTGAGCAATAATAAAATGAGCAGTTGGACTAGAATCCATTCATTGGTTCTCTAATTGTACCACCAGGAGTCTTAAGTTCTGAAGAGCCTTCTCTAGCATTGGTGCAGGGTTAGAGGTCAGAGGGAGTTACGAAGAAAGCGGAAGAGGAGCCTCATGGACAAACCCCATTCCCACTGTGTAAAAGACAGGGTGCCCAGAGTCTTCTCTTGGCTCTTAGGCTATTTATGTCTCCTAATGTGAACATATCTATTCAATGATGAATAAACATTAATTATTAGATTAAAAGTCCTCTTGCAGTGCTTTGTACAATTTTTAATTTTTTAATCAGGCCCTTTTCTGAAACGTAGCTTCCTAAATGTCAAATGATGCTTTTCATAATGCACGCTTCATTACCATGAATAAAAGCATTTAAGAGAAGGATGAGTTTGAGGATATGGAGAAGGCGGAAGCATCCTGTGAGCATGCTGGCTTTCTCTCAGAGCCTGCATGTCAGCACTAACAAATAAATGATTCAGAAAAAAAAAGCAAGGGTTAGTTCTGGCCATCTTTTTTAAGTAGCAACTAGTGTTTTGTTTTGTTTTGTTTTTAATTCAAAACATGTCCTTGTCTTTGGACTTTATTCTCTTCCTACCAGCAAATATTCCAGTAATATTTAGCAAGTAATAATTAGACATGGCCCTTTTAACATCTGTCTAAAATGCATGGAGTCCCTTCTGTGACTCTCTTCTTAACAGAGGTCAGAAGAGAAACTGCAGATTCATCCTTTATATTACTCCATTCAATAGTCTTCCCCCCACCCCCGCCCCCATATAATGAATTTAGATGTTTATGAGCAGTTCTCCCTCTAAGTAGCTTAGAAGAAGAAAAACAAAAATTACTAAATAGGCTCTTTGGCACTCCTGGTGCTGGGCTAATTAGGTTCCCTGCTCCCTGGCTCTGTAATCCTGCTGCTTCATGCTTGTATTTCCTATGAACAACGCCTGCCAACCACGCCAGACTCGCTTGGGCCAAAGTAGGATTTCTGCTGTGGACATATGTACACAGCCACTTTCTCTTGACCTCAGAGTGGCTAAAAGGCTGACATCCCCGTGAAAGCAGGGCGTATCAAGTAACTCTGCTGCCTAGCACTAAACAACCAAGCATATCACCCGTCACCTTGGAGAGCAAGGTCCCCAAGCATTTTAGAGTCACATTAAGATGAAATGTGGACAAAGTAAATAGAGCTCTTCAAAAGCATAAATTTAAAATGATCATGATTGCTGTCACTTTGTGATGAAGATGATGGATTTCATAGTTTGTGGATTCTTACTAATATGAAGCAGATTAACTTTTATCACTGGATTAAAAATCTGGTGGCCCAAATGTCCACTGCCTGAAAGGAGTTAGGTGCTTATCTTAAATGTAGAATTTTGCCCTGATCTGGCTTCGTGTTTGGCAAAACAAATAAAATGAAAGCTACTGGAAGTTCTAAGGTTTTGAAATTCTTTTTTCTTTGGGCTTTGAAGTTTTGGCAGGCTGACCAGATTATTTTGAAATATTGTATGATGTTTAAAATGACAGTCTGGAAAACAGTGTGGAGATTTCTTTAAAAAGCTGGAAACAGAACTGCCATATGACCCAGCAATCCCACTTCTGGGCATACAAACCGAGGAAACCAGATCTGAAAGAGACACGTGCACCCCAATGTTCATTGCAGCACTCTTTATAATAGCCAGGACATGGAAGCAACCTAGATGCCCATCAAGTGTGTGAAATGACTGGATTGGACTTGATTCCTAAGATGGGTTTCACTCCACTCCTGTTGTACAGTTCTACTATCCATTATGCTAAGTCATGCCAGTTTGGGGTAGGAAGAGCAATAAATTGTTTCTGAGGAGTAGCTTAACTTGCCTTTTCAGATGCTCAAGACCAGTTAAGAAACTATATTCTATATATTGCATGTTAGGGAATAAAAGTGACTCGTACCGACTGTTGAACTAAAAAAATCACATATACATTGTGAAGTGGAGGTGTTAGTCACTTCAGTCATCTTTGGCTCTTTGCAACCCCATGGACGTAGCCCGCCAGGCTCCTCTGTCCGTGGGATTCTCCAGGCAAGATTACTAGTGAAGGTCGCTCAGTCGTGTCCAACTCTTTGTGACCACATGGACAATACAGTCCATGGAATTCTCCAGGCCAGAATACTGGTGTGGGTAGCC